ACGCCAAAATATCCGAAAATAAACTTTCGCTACACATATATAATAATCGCAACATTTGCTTCAGGCGCCAAAAGACGGCTTTGAGTAATTATATCACCGCATAATAAAAATATTTGGGAGATAATAATAAAAATAAATAATATTACATTTGCGAACATAATCGGCACTTCATTTTTCTTCGCGCGTGTAAAAGCTTAAAATTAATGTTCCGTGTAGTTTTACTTCATTTATATATTACTTTTTTTTTTATTTTGCGCTTTTGACAAAAGGAAAGTGTTTTGTAAGTTAAAAGCGTATAAATTGAAAGTTTACAAAACCGTTTTGGATTTAGAGAAAAAAAAGGGGGAAAGATTTCTTTGCCATTCAACAAAATTACAGTACAAATAAGGCTAATTTCCATTGAGGAAATTACTTTCTTCCCTGAACCTCTTTTTGCACCATCACTACTCCTACTATACTCTTTCTTGGTCTTCTCCGTCCCTAATTAAGTATTCTGATTTCCGTTTCTTTACAGGACCAGGTCTTTCTCCTCATGCCATCTTCTTCGAATTCTTCCAACCTGAGCAAACTCTATGACCCTTTTGGTGATGTAGAAGACCAATTTACTATTCTGCTCCCACTACTCCACTAATTCGCAGATCATGACCATACCCTTGAACTCGCCATCCAGAGCTATAGGCGCTTCCACCTCCACACGCACCTTATGGATAATAAAGATGACTCCATTTACATGGAAATTCTGATTGAAACTGAGTAAACTAGTCTTAAAAGAAAAGAAAAGGATTAAGTTAAGTTCATACGTAATAATTTTACAGAATAAAAGGTAGCGCCAATCAGCCAACTTACCTTTGAGAAACTATTCACTAATTTTATACAAATCAAGAAAAAGTATTAATCGAATCGACCAGCACTACTTGACGGCTCAAAGTCAAGGCCCCCAACGCTATCCTTCTGGATTGATTCCTCATCTTAAATTTACAATGCCACCAACAAAATAGAGCAAAGCATTTAAATCGGTCATATGAGCGAATCGAATCCATTTGGCCCCTCCAAAAGCGTCCGAAGGGCATTCAACAAAACTCCTCGGCCGTTTAGTATTTTATTTTAAATTCAGGACTTCCGATGGACCCGCATCATATCATTCCGCGTAATCCTGACTCATGGGCCCTCTTAAGCACGTAGAACCTACTAAGATTGTATTATCGCTCGACAGACTGTCACCTGTAACTTCCCTAAGGCATGAACCGATCACTCGTGACCCATAAAAATACAGATCGCGAATTTGATTAAGAATCTACTGACCCTTAAACGTAGAAATCCATACACATTTTCTACAGAATAACCCCCAAATGGGAACACCCTGTATAAATGTAATAGTGTAATGTAATGTAATAAATGAAGGTGATAAGTAACTTAAAACTAGAAGAAGAGAATTAAATAAAGGAAAGAGAGAAGATAGGGAACAATATACTGATAAAAGGAGTAAAGAGAGAGAAAGCACGCAAAAATGGCTGAAAGAAAACCTACAAGTAGAGGGGAACGTAAAGGTGGAAACAATTGAACTAGGGGAGAGATAAAATAATAGTCGCGGTAATCATCTGTAAAAAGAACAGTAAATTATAATGGGTAAGGATAAAGAGAAACAGGATATACATAAATGACAAATTGAGTTATGAGAAAAGAAAATAGAGAAATTAGAGAAAGCGACTGAGAACGGAAAGGGAAGGAAAGTAAGGAGGAAAAAGTAGTGGGAGACGAAGATCACACATGGAGTACTGGGAACAGTACTCAAGAGAGCGGGACACGAAAAGGCAGGAGTGTGGAGTGAGAAATTAACAGTAAAAGAGAAGACATTCGGATTAGGGGGGGGGGGGGGGGGGAGGGTAGGGGCAGACAGAATAAAGAAGGAAAGCGGAAAAGAATGGAAATGATTAATGTGAAAACAACGTTATAACATAAAGGGAAGAGCAACAGTTGGCATATTAACAGGGATCAAAAAAGCGATAAGAGGGTAAAATAGGAGGAAGGCATACATGAAAGACGAATGAAAGTGGAGGGGAAGAAAGCCCAGAAAGAGTTATAAAATATAGTACAAAATATGGTAGATTTAGAAGAGGAGGGGGAAGAAGCCTTATGGGGTAAAGGCTAGAATACGGAACAGAGTGCAACAAAGAGGGGGGTATTGGAATTGGTGAGAGAGGATAGAGAATGTTAAATGGAAATATGGATGGAGATAGGGACAGACATACACGAGAGGAAGAGGGAGGTCGGTAAGTGATCACATACTTATGAAAACAGACTAAAGAAGCAAAAAGAAGAAGAAAAAGGATTTCTTCTATTTCAGAGGAACAATTATTTTAGGGAGAGGCAATAACATGAAAACTGGTAAATGAAAGGGAAGTGAAGTCGTGAGACTGGTAGAGGGTGGAGGAGAAGAAGTTGAGAGAATATAAAAAAGGACAAAAGAAAAGGTAAGGAAATAGAAGAAGAATCAGAAGGAATACATAAAAAAAATCAGGTAAATAAAACAGAAACGTTTTTAGAAAACGATAAACAGAGCAAAAGGAAAAGCATAATAAGTGGAAAAGAAATAAAAATACAGGACTGAAAACAGCACTTTATTAATAGGAGGGACACTCTTTGGTACTACATGGAAAACAGGAAAAACCGTGTGTGATAGAGGAAGATGGAGGAGAGTCAGTGGAAGGGGATGAGATATCAAGAGGACAAATTAAACAGCAATTGAGGGAACTGAGGAAAAGGAAAGCGGCAGGTCGGGATAAAATAAGGTATAGATAGTATAGAAGAGCTGAAAAAACTAATAAACAAGATATGGAGGAAGGAAGACTATCGGAAATGGTGTCCATTTGTAAAAAAGATGATTCAGGCTGTATGGAAATGACGAATGCACACAGAATATATGCAATGGTGCTGAATGAAAGGTTAGAAAGGGAAGTAGAAGAGAAGAGGATTTAAACAATAATGAGATTCAGAAGAAGAACGACTGATTTTATATATGTATTGCATACATTTGGATTATAAAATAAGAGCGCAAAACCGTTACCAATTTTCATGGATTGGGAAAAGTATGGAAAATGATGGAGAATGGGAAAATATAAAATAATTTTGCCCAAAATGGTCCTGAAACCGTCATTTTCATGCCTACCTTCTGTCAGAAAATTTTTGTTTCCATGAGAGAGGCAGAGCAGACTACGTTTCCTGCCGCATCTGTCACTTTACCGGGCGCACCGTCAATTTACTGGCCGCATTTTTGACATTTCCAAATGTCTACAATGACTCATGTCATCAACATCACTGACAGATTGACATTAATCAAAAGTTATATATAAGAGTTGAAATTTTGTATTAAAAGACGATTTCGAAAAAAATTTAATACAAAACTCGTCAGTAAAATGTCATTACCTGACTCCGAAATTAAAGTACTCGGCCCCAAAGTGGCCTCGCTCTTCAATATTTCCTCGCCAGTAATGTATCACTTTCCTGATTTTTATGTAAATAACTATTAAAGAGGAGTCTGAAGTATTCTGGAAAATTAAAGGATTGAGACAGGGATGTCCACTTATCTGTAGATTATTTAAGATTTACATAAATCATACGAAGAAATTAGGTCAAAGTGGAGGAATCGTAATGGGAAAAAGGCATACGTGCACGACGCGTTGATAATAACGACCTTGGAAGAAGGGGGAAGCAGAGGAATGTATAATGGGGGAAGGAAAGGGTAGGGGAATTTGAATATTTAGGATACTAGATGCAACGAAATAATGGGGCCAACGCACAAATAAAGTAATTAATAAAAAAAAGGGGAAGTATATCGATGAGACGCTATGGTGGGCGGTGTGGAATGGAGAGGTGGGGGTACGACGAATGGGATGAACTAGAGGGAATGTATTTCAAGTTGGTGCTGGGACTAAACGGAGGGACACCAAAGTACATAGTAGAGGAGAAAATGAAATAGAGAAAATACGCATAGAGAAAGAGGGAGTGGATTGCTGAAAGAATTGTCAACGAGGACGAACACAAAAGGAAAATGGTGGGAACCAAAGAAAATTGAAAGGTACTAATGGGGATAGACAGAGGTTGGAAGGAAAAGAGAAATTGAGGATGGAAGAAACGGGACCACAATTTGTAATTGCAGTTACAGAAAGAGCAAATCGAGAATTCACGAGGAAACAGAACGAGTTAATAACGGAGGGGGTGTCGAAATATCTAAGGGAGGAAAAGGAAAACATCAATCTTATATCGAAGTTCGGATGGGGAAACGAGAATAGAGGAAAGAAGGGGATAAGAAAATAGGAGAGGAAAAGGAAAATATTGTCCATCTGATATGGGAATGGAAGGAGGTAAACGGAACAAGAGAAAGTAGGAAATAAATACTGGGCCAGGGGCGAAGGGGAGAAATATGGATGAAGGAGGTAACGGAAAAAAAGTTGAGCAAATTTAAACTGAAACTTGGATCCGTTTCTTGACTAGGAAATTTGGTTCAAGTGTGATGCTGACATTGGGTTTGAGATTGAACCGCGTAAATATTGGGATTTAAAAACTCAAGAGAAGGTAGCAGATGCCTACAAAATTCAAAGTGGGAGACCTCTAGAGGTGTTGAGTAATAGATAGTTCAAATTGATGATTGATTGAGGGATGGAAACATTTAACTGAATCCAAAGAATCCAAAGTTTCCTATTCTAGCAATTTAAGTTCTAACTCAAGTTGTGTAAATTGACGTTGGAGCACAACCTGTCGAGTCTTGGAATTTAAAACCTTAGTAGGGCATAAAATCGCAAACCTCATCTCATGCTAGGAATTCCTGTCATAGTACTCCTAGCGTAGGCGATAAATGATCACACTAAAAGCCTTTTGGGCTCCTGAAATGACTTAATATGCAATATAGAGAAAGAATTGTAACCATCCTAACTATCTCACTTATTTTTCTTTTACGTGCATAAGGTATTACGTGTAGGCATTGAATAAAATTATAAACTTACCAAATCGTGCGTTGCTCTGTGCACTAAGACGATACAATAATAATAAAATCAATGGCCATAATCAACCACCTACACTCTAATCAAAAGCTAAACCGCTAATGAATTATTAATAGCCCTAGAAATCTCGCGAAGTCTGGGTTATTTTTGTACCAATCAAAATAATATGCCACCGTCTTCTTAGGGTTTCTGTTATTTACCGATGTTCTATTAATATTGAAAACAATAACCTCTCCGAATATGATAGGGTAACGAAATTGCGGTCGCCAACAGATATAATTACGCGCAACTAAATAACCCCATGCAGAGGGGAAAGCTTGCAGTGAGTTGGAAACGGGTATAGCCAGACTAATCCGTTTAGCCTGCCCATCAGCACCAGAAGAGACCGACTAGCCTCAGAAGCATTCATCGATCCTGTACGATATAGTGATGTCCAGTACGGCACGAGAGGATCGAGAAGGCCCTTGCTCATGCGTTAAAATTCGAAACAGCACAGAAGGTGTCACATGGTACCCATCGCATGCGAGTAGTGGAATCCAGCAGCAAAAAAGAGGACTCCAGTGATAGTATTGATGGAAAAAATATATCATTTACCAGCGTTTATCCAAGAAGGAGAAAAATCTGGGCATGCGGAAAGGCTGGACATCTAAGAAGAAAAACTAGAGAGAGTCGATGAGTAGGGGCAAACGTCGACTCGCAGTTATCATTCCTCGAGTACCACGTTACAATAGCAACAAAAATCATCAAACGGATCAGTTGTTTTTGAATTTTTTTTCTGCTATGCTCCATATCTGTGGTATTAATCCATTTGCTTTTTTCTTTATTTGTCTTATGTGAACACTTGGTCCTCCGTTTTTCATTAGTGTGTACCCAAGGTATTTAAATTCCGACACTTCTTCTATTTCTCTTCCTTCGATTTTGATTTTTCTGTGTTTATTTCTTTCTTCTTGCGTACCTACTTTTCTAACTGTGTGATCATTTCCCTCATTTCTGATTGCTTTGTTGCAAGGAACACCATGTCATCCGCGTATGTTAATGACCATATCTTTTGTCCTCCAATTTTTATTCCTCCTGCTTGCCATTTCCTTAATGCTTCTTCCAGGTCTGCCACATAAATGTTGAAAAGAATTGCACTTAGGCGACATCCTTGCCTGACTCCATTTTCCGTCCAAAAATAGTCTGTGTGTTTGTTATTGACTTTAACTTTACTCTTTGTTTCATAGATTTCTTTAATCCTTTCTATTGTGTTGCTGTCGATATTTTTCTTTTCCAAGCTCTTATACAGAGTGAGCAAGAAAGATTGAAGCGTGCCGCTTCAGCTAAATTGGCAATGTGCCGCTCATAGCATATGCTGATTTGATACAAGATACGAAATACGAATAGACGCACGTCACTGTGACAGCGCAGAACGTCATTTTCGTATACAACTCCATACAAAGAAGGTAGTTTTGATATTAATAGGAACAAGCGGTGATGACGCACGCTTCAATCATTGTTGCTCACACGTTATAATTCGTTCCTCTAGATTATCGGGCGTACAGGGCGTAGACTTTACCTCCTTTCTTTTCCAGTTCTTGTTATACTGCGTGATTCATTATGTATATGTTGTCTGTCGTCCCCCTTCCCTTCTTAAAGCCCATTTGCGTTTCCTCTAGTATACTCAGTGACATGGAAATTGCAACACCAAGAAGGAGTTGGAATTTTTTGACCAAACTTGGCAGAAACGTTTAACTACTAAAAGGTAACAATTGATTAACATTTCATTCATATGAATCAAGTGGTAATGGCTTATTTGACAGCTCTTTCATTTTTTCTAGTATTCTTATATCGCGTACGTTTTGCGAGATTTTGATCAGTTCTTATTGTTTTCGCTTTTAATCGTTTCTTTTGATGCTGTGGCCTGTGATCATGCCTGAATACGCCAAAGTGGAAATTACCGCGAATTAAGAGAAGTTGACAGGTGTCGTACTGTTGGTTTGGGCGGAGGTGGTTTTTCGTTCACAAAAATTGCAAGTCACCTTAACCGAAGCCAATCCATCATGATTCTCTGCAATCGGGCATGGATTTGGGAAGGGGCAGGATCGTCGTATAGAGGAAAGGGAGGGGGCAGGAAAGGGTGGGGGTCGAAAAAGAACAATTGAAGTGCGGGATCGCCATCTTTGACTTATGGCAACAAGAAACCGATTCTCTAGTACCAGGTCAATTGCCGATCAATTGTTAGCTAACGAAGGTCGTCCTGTAACACTTCGAACGGTTTACCGCAGAATCAGAGCTTACGACTTGCAATCCTATCGGCCACATCTTTTGTTACCATTAACAGCTCAACACCGCCAGCAGCGTTTGGATAGGTGTCGGTTGCGACGGCACTGGAACCTAGAGTGGCATAGGGTGGTGTTCAGTGATGAATTCCGATTTTGTTTGGGTATGCATGATGGCCGTATGAAGGGTAGCCGAAGACGTGGGGAACGTCGCAATGTTGAATTTTCTGTTACGAGGCATGTGTGTGCACTAAGCTGTGGGGACTATTGTATGCGGTACTAATAACTTATGGGAATAGGGTTCGTTTGTTATTCATTCGAGGTAATATGACCCTCCCAGCGATATGTGGATGACGTGATAGAACCCGATATTCTTCCATTTCTTCAGCAGTTGGAAGACCCACTTTTCCAGCCAGCCTGCATTATCCTGATAATGCCCATCCCCATATTGAAAGACGTTCTATGGACTTATTTGCACATGATAATGTCAATTTCTTGCCATAGCCACCCAGATCTCCCAGTATATCGCCTATCGAGCATGTTTGGGACATTATGAAGAGAAGACTGACGAACTTACCGCATCCTCCGCAGACGCTGCAAGCTCTACACAATGAAAATTACATGTTGCTTCAGTTGCTTGGGACACAATACCTCAATAGGAAATCGACCGTCTGCTAAAATCGATGCTACGAAGCGTGAGGGAGTGCGTATTGCGTAACCAATAGGGAGGGACTACTATTATTATTAATAAAAATATGTTTATATTTCGTCCTTTTTCTTTTAAATTTTAATCAATTGTTACCTTTTAGTAGTTAAACGTTTCTGCCAAGTTTGGTAAAAAAATTCCAACTCCTTCTTGGTGTTGCAATTTCCATGTCACTGAGTATATTTCTTTGTCCTCTACTTCTTCATTTAAGCGGTTGTTTAGTATTTTAGCGTAAAGTTTGTATGTTGAGTTTAAGAGTGTGATTCCCCTATAGTTTTTGATGTCATATTTGTTTCCTTTTGTGTATATTGGGCATATTTCTCCTTCTTTCCAACTTTCCGGAAATCCTCCTCCTCTCCATACACTATTAATAATTTTTCTAATTTGCTGTTTCACGTTTTCCGGTGCATGTATTATCTTTTTTTCATCTTTGCTATTTTTGCTTCCATTTCTTCTTCTCCTATTTCTTCATCCTCCTTTTCACTTCTTCTTTTTGTTGTTTACCCTCTGAAGCTTATCTGTCTGTTTAAACTTTGTATAAAGTAGTTTTTCCCTTCTTCTCCAATGTCGTCCGTTTTTTTCTGTCACCGCTATAGTTTTTGCTTTTTGATTTTTTCTAGTGCAGCGTCGTATTCAGTTTCTCTGAATTCTATCTGCTTTAAATGTTTTCTGTATTTTTCTATTGTTTGTTCTGTCCAGATTTGTGTCGTTTTTGTAATTCCTTTTGTTAGTTTTTTTTTGTTATTCTTTGGTTTATCGTTTTTCTTACACCTGTTAATATCACTCCTTTCGTTCTTCCTTTCTTGTTTTCTCTTCTGGCGTATTGATATTCCCATTCAAAATCTTTTGGTAGTTTTTTCTCCCAATTTTCCCAATATTTTTCTTCTACCCATACTTCTGTCATGCTTATTACATCATAAGTTTTCACGTACTCCCAAAATTCTTCATCTTTGTTGCGGATTCCCGCCACGTTCCGGAATCCAATTTTGATGTTTCCTTTTTTTGTAATATTTTATTTTCTTCTTCCTTTTTTTGTTTGTTTTTGTTGTCACCTGTTGTTCCTTTGTGCGACCCCCCCCCCCCCCGATTGTGTATTAAATTTTTAAAAATTCTTTGAGATTTCCTGTGCTATTGACTCGGGAATGTCTTTGTCCTGTCTTTATTCCACTTGCGTATTTTTTGCGTTTAGCAATCTAACCCACCCACTGTAATTTTCTATGGGGGAAGTTTAAAGTTATAGCTTATTTTTTAAATCCAATTATTCTCTTGGTCTCGATATTGCAATTACAAGTAACACAGTTGAAGAGATAATCCCGGTACTGAGTACCAAATGAACCGTCAAAGGTCATTTCGATAAAAACGCCAGTTAGTCATCTCTTTATGGTCTTGGTGATTAGAACTTGTCTTATCATCAGAACCCAATTTCATATCAGTGTATAAAACACCGTACGTCGGGTGTAGTGGTCCAAATTGTTAAAGTGTAAGAATCTTTGATAAGTGAACTGTTTCGCACGTTTGTTAGGAATTCTTCAAATTGTTGGATCCACCCTCCATAGGTACGTAAATAAATTTTGTCCTGTCTCCTGTGGTAACCATCGCCACTGTTTTTGGGCCTTCCTTGGCGTGTTTTTCTTTCGTCATACTTTTGCCGTTTGCCTTGCTTTATTTTTGTTATTGAACTTAGTACTCAACAAACACAACGAATTTAAAATTTGTTATCTTGGATTGACTTGTTAAATTCAAGATAACTCCAGAGGGTATCTACATAGTTATGTACATTTAGGAGCGCGCCCCATTCCTTTTGTTTTCCATACGAAAGGGGTACAGCGGTCACGGCTTTTTGACAGATTGAGTGGCATCAAGACAGTCGAATGCCTTCTAAATAGGTGGATGAAAGGGCACGGGGCGTGTAGGCGTGTAGGTGCGGTGGCCATTATTTTATTTTTTATAGACCTACAAAAAGAGATCACTGATTGTCAGATCCGGGTACCGGGCTGACAAGTTGACCAGTTCTCCTCCACGAATTTACTTTTGAAAGATTTCATGTCAATAATCACGGACCTATATCGCATAATAATATTCTCTTAAAGCACTGTCTAAATTTCCTTTACATAAATGGTACGACTGGAAAAAGGGCTCACTCGTAACAAAATACGTTCCACTACCGCTGACTGCGATACACCAAAAGCCTAGAGTACCAAAAAAGTTTCGTTTAACGTCCGGTGCTCTTTTTTAAAACATTATTTCCTTTGCGTTTTCTTTCCTTCCTCGTTCGTTAATCTTCTGAGAACATCTGCGGTAAAATGAGATTATTTTTAAACTAAGGAGCCTACGCAGCGATAACGTTTTTATCTCAATAACCGGAGATAACATGGGATGAACTTTTGCAAAACATTAATTAATTAATAAATAAAATAAGCAAAAATACACATAATTAAATAAATAATTCTGAATAAAGTCAACAATGACTTCAAATTCGAATAACATGATCGAAATTATGTTCTTTGAATTAGTGTAAAAAATAAATGAAACTAACTAACATCGGGCACGTTAATGATTACGGATACGTAATGGTAAAATCGTGTAATGGACAAGCGGAGTGGAAGAATTAACTCTTGATCCGATTTTCACACATGCTCTTCTCTTCTTCCCTTAACTCTAACGTTTAGTGTTGCCTCCTTGTAAAGTTTCTGTTTTTTTTAGGGGAAATGCACCACAACGTAGGCATTCTTCTTTCCTTACTGTTCCTGCTAGTGCAGAAGTCAACTACAACATGCGTTGTTGAAAGAAACGGATGGTCTGGATGTACCGCCACCTGCACGAGTTTGGAACAAATTGGTTACTACTTGTGCGACACAACTGTGAAATTGTCAATAGAGAATACGACAATCCCAAAACTTAAAGAAACCACAATTCCAAAAAGTAAATCTTCACTGCGGCAACTCTCTCTAAGGAACTGTCAGCTGGAAGCAATTGCTAACAATGCCTTTGAAAGAATGCAAGCATTGCGACAACTGAATTTGCAAGAGAACAAAATCACGGCCGCCGGATTCCTCGACAAGAAACTTCCATTGCAAGTATTAAATTTGAACTTCAATAACTTGAGGAGTATTTCCGTAGATGGAAATTTACTCGGACAATTGGAAGAGCTTTACGCGAGCAACAATGATCTTCAGAAGGTCAAAATATCCTCAATGAGACTTCGAGTGTTAGATCTTTCATATAACAGACTCCTCAGTGATGACAACTTAAATTTCACAAACGTAACGACTCAGCTGAACGTTCTCAATTTAAGCTCTAATCCCCTGACTACATTGAGGTCGCACTCGTTCGTTTATTTGAGAGGATTGTCGCAGTTGTACCTGAAAAACTGCAGCCTTCAAAGTGTGGAATCTGAAGCTTTTCGTGGATTGGATAACTTGAACGTGTTAAGATTGAGCGACAATCTTCTAAGGGTGCTACCCCAGTATGTATTTGTGGAGTTGTCTCGCCTTCGAGAGCTCCACCTTGACAATAATCACCTGTATACGTTGCAGGCGGGCGATTTTAAAGGACTTGGCGCGTTGGGGTTCCTAAATTTGTCCAACAACCAAATTGAAGCGCTTGACAAAGATGTATTTCAAGGGCTGGCAGGTTTGGATACACTCATTTTGGCTAATTCCAAATTGAAACGGGTCGGGGTCGGGGTGTTTCCCTCGACAAGTAATTTGAATTTGGCGAACAACAGTTTGGAGGTGTTGACAATTGACGTTTTCAGTGCGGTAACTGGAACAATCGATTTGCAGTTTAATCCGATCAAAAGCTTTGGAGAGGGAACAGCTTCAAGTGAGTTAAACGCAAGGGCCGTCGATTTGGTGGGTGTCGACTTTCAGTAGTTCAGAGGTGGTCTCAGTAGGTTTAGTGGGGTTCGATGTTTAAATCTGTCCCATACAAACTTAAGACAAATCGCATCTGACGATTTCGCCAAGTTGGTGAATTTAAACGACCTAAACCTGAGCCATAACAGTTTGTCAGTGATTGTGGAAGATTCCTTCCGAGACCTGAGTGGTTTGGGCAGTTTGTGGATTCGGAATAATTCGATCCATGAAATACGGGTTGGAGCATTTAATGGCCTGCAAAATTTGGGGATTTTGGATTTGTCTCAAAATTATATTAAATACTTGTCGCGAGGAATACTTTCGGGTTTGCAGCGATTGAACGCTTTAGTCCTTGCACAGTCGCACGTAGCGAGCATTGAACCTCAAGCTTTTCAAGGTTTAGGGCAGTTGGCGACCTTAGACCTTAGTCACAATAAGTTAGTCGTCTTGAAAGCTAATGTGTTCGTTGGAGCGACAGGGCTCAACAGTTTAGATCTCAGTAGAAACTTCGTCCAGGAAATTGCGTTGGGTTCCTTTGCAGACTTGCAGCAGCTGTCATTTCTGGATCTATCCTTTAACAATCTAAAAGATCTTGACTCGGATATGTTTAAAGGCTTAAATCTGCTACAAACTCTTAAGTTAATCGGAGTAACCTCCCAAGAACGCACGACGATTAAAGCAGGATCGTTTAGTGATCTACCAGGGCTTACAGCAATAGACTTGCGCCAAAATCGTTTCAAGCTTATAGAAGGTGGTGCCTTCTCCAAACTGGACAATTTGAAAGAAGTGGACTTTAATAAAACCACTGTCACGGCCATTCAAAGTTTTGCATTCCAAGACATCAGGTACATCAGATACTTGAACCTTTCGGGTTTACTTATTAAACTCCTAGAACCGAACGCATTCAGTTCAATGGACAGATTGGTCACATTGGATTTAAGCAACAACAGCTTTACTAAAATTAAGGGTACTTACTTCAACAACCTTCCTGAACTGAGAACCGTTTATTTACGCAATATTCAGCTGGAGGCCGTAGAATTTGGCGCTTTCTCTCACTTGGACAATCTCAATTCCTTCGACTTTAATGGAACTTCAATTGAAACGATCCAAGGCGAGGCCTTTACCGGGGTCAACTCGTATAGCTCCTTTAACTTGTCAAACTTAAACATCAAGCACATCCACCCTGACGCCTTTACCAATATCGCGGTATGTTACGAAATGAATCTCAGCCACAACCTCTTAAAAGTCATACATAGAGGCACCTTCGGAATAGACAAGCTTAACAAGTTGGACCTCAGCTTCAATGAAATTGAGGAACTAAAGGCTGGCACGTTTGACGGTTTCGGTTTCCGTACGTTGGGCAGTCTAAGCTTAAAAGGCAACCGACTGCGCCATCTCCCATTTGGCGCGTTTTCAGGTATCCTAGGCATCCAGGTAATTTCACTAGCAGAGAACCTCATCCATAAAATGGAACCGGGCGCGTTTAACGGTACGCTAATGCAACCGGATGGCGAAATCGTTTTGAATTACAACAAACTGAGGGTGTTGCACAAAGACACCTTTTTGGGCATTCAGAATTTGCAAAACCTGAACATTACGCACAACAAGCTAAACGAGATTAAATCGCACGCTTTCAACGGGCTGGACTCCTTGAAAACGTTGGATCTGTCAAACAACATGTTACACGCCTTCGAGTTGCAATCGTTTGCAGGTTTAACCAAAGTGGAAAGTTTGGTATTGGCAAGTAACGCTTTTAGAAGTTTTCAATTTGGAACATTTTCTCACACGTCCACCCTGACGTACCTTGACATATCGAATAATAACATCGCCCACATCGACGAAGGTGTTTTTTATCCTCTACGAAACCTGGTGCGATTAAATCTGGAAGGCAATCGCATGAAACACCTCGACTACGACGTTTTTCTGAGCTACCACGCACGTCTGTCGAAATTCAATTTGAATCGCAATCTGTGGCGGGGATGCAATTGGTTGGCGAAGCTATTAAACGCATTGAGGGTTCGAGAGGTGGATTATTCTGAAAAATCCCGTAATTACGTGGGTCTAAATGTAGATGGTATTACTTGTTACGAGCGGTAGGGTGCGTTTCCTTCCCGAGAAGAGAAGATGAACAACCCTATGGAAAGGATTTGATACTCCAGTTTTATATGTAATTTTTTTTTAAATAAAGCATTTCGATGTTCTATTTATTTGGATGATATTTAGTATAGTAACAGTAGTATCATAAGCAAAGTGAAGCCGAGTCGCGATCAAGTCGATAAAGGATTAGTCAATGCTGGTAAGGAGTGACAGCGAATCTTTCCGGAGAATCCTTTCCTTTGTTAATTAATATAACACAAACCCATTTTTGAATTTTATATAATTATGGATAAAATCGCATAATGTACCACTTCATACGGATGGCAGGCGCTAATCAGTTTTTTTAGCAATATAGGTGTGCATTTTGGTGAGATAGAAGCGTATCGCCCGAATTACGCAGGTTCCCTTTTCCAAAGCGTATCTGCTATTGGTTTTACGGCGATTCGCGGAAATTGCGTTGGTTCCGTTTTATCTTAGCATAAATAGCGAAGCAAAAAGAGAAGGAGGAGACGGGTAGCGACTGTGAACGCGTACATACCATCTACTCGATTTTAATGGCGACAAGAGCAAAGTTGGCCCAAAAAGCGGATGGGTGGCTACAGTTTAGGTATAGAGTTCGGGTAAACAATTTAGTTGCGTTTTTTTATGCTCAAGTTATAAATAATTCATAAAGTTAAAATGGAGCAATTATCGAAACGGCGTATTAAGTTACGAAGAAGGAACAATCGTCTCATCGTGGTGATAGTACAAATATGTTGTTAAAGGACGCCTCTATTTATAAACTTTCATCAACATCGCGAGTACGAACTGATCCACCTAGATCTTTGATCTGGCGGAAGATTTATCACTGCTAGAATCAACGGAAGTTTATTTAATCTGGGACGAGCCGTTTTTTTTCAGCACAGTTGGAATTTTTCTTTGTCTCATAAAGGAGCTGCAATTACCAAAGGGCGCAGACCTTGCCCTAGGGTACTTTTACCACCACGCAGGTTTTCAATGATTACGGGCTAAGAATTATTGTGAAGTCCTTTTTAGCGCATTTCCACCAAAATAAAAAAAAAATGCGCTATTGTGGCCACTTTGCACGCCCGTCCGTCTGTCCGTCCGCTAGTCTTTTCTTAAGAGCTATTGTTCTACTTTTTTCACTATTTGGTCCATTATGGTGTCGAGGTTGCACCAAGGAAGGAATTTTTTCTGCGTTTATTGCTAAGAAAGTTATTGCAAAAAAACCAACAAACCGTTTTTTACATGTTTCATAATTTTACACTTTTGCCGTTTATTAACGATCCTAGAGATCGTTTATAATTTTGTATTGCTGTCTGTCGTCTGTCTGTCCGTCTGTTCCTTTGTCTGTCTGTCCCTCTATCTGTCCGTGTGAACGATAACTTTGTTTAGAAATGTCCGATCGTTTTTACATCTCCGTTAGTTATTAACTGAATTGCATGAAATTCAATATGGGCATAGCTTTAGCCATATAATACGCAATGCCAACAGTTGCGTCGAATCGATTCAAAATTTACAGTGCCCTTTTCGCGTCTCGACCATTTATAAACCGAATTGCAAACTTTTTTATTTATAAAAGTATTTGAATGAAATTTGATACATAGGCACTTGGAATAAATGAAAATCTAACACCAGTTTCAAAATTTGGTTTTGCGCATGCGCAGTGCCAACTTTTATATTTATGGAAGAATTTAAACGAAATTTGATACATAGGCACTTGGTATAAAGGAAAATCAATCGCCAGCTTCAAATTTGGTTTTGCGCATGCGCAGTGCCAAATTTTTTGATTTATGGAAGCATTTAAATGAAATTTGATACATAGATGCTTGGAATAAAGGAAAATCTAACACCAGTTTCAAAATTTTATTTTGCGCATGCGCAGTGCCAACTTTTTTTTTATCTACGGAAGCATTAATGAAATTTGTTGCATAGGCGCTTGGAACAAAGGAAAATCTTATTCAGAAAAGCATTGAAATGAAATTCTTCTTATAAACTGAAATTGAAGTAGCACGTTAAAAATGGATTGCACATGTGCAACGCTATCTTTCATATTTGTGACCGGATTTTTACGATTTTAACGGAAGTTGCATCTTACAAATGGGAAATGAATGCATGTGGAAATGCGCTTTATGTATATCGTTTACCATTACTTTTTAACTCGTTATATAGAACACTGGATGGAATCATGATCGTGGATTTTGCACTTAGTTGGTCGATCTGTCTTATCTAGGTTTACTATTACCCAACGTGGACGATGGGGTGACCTATAGGGCATTTTCCGTATTTGTTAACACAGATATCTACACGTTTTATTTGTTCTTTGTCGTGTAAAAAGATTTTTCGTTTTCTGTTCCCATACGCATAAAATGTGCAACTGAGACTTGGTGGTAAATTTGCAATCGATGTGCTGACAAAAATGTGTCGACAAATATGGTAAATGTCGTATTGGTCATCCCTTCATTCGCAATGTAGAGTCGTGTAGTAAATTAAATTTAGATAGACGGACTTATTGTAATATTCTACCATTACAATTACGCGTCAAAATAATTGTTCGTGCTTTGCCGCGCCTATACTAAAAATTTAAACCAAGGACTATTTCGAGATAGCCAACTGAATTTGATCTACATCATTGTTTTTAATTGAAGCTTTAGGATTCTTAATGTCAAGTTAATTAACCTATCTGATACAAATCAGGATCACTGAAATACATGATGGTGTGAGATTTGTTGAAGGAAGTCTTTTTAGTCTATTTAGATTGCGGAAAATTTTGAAAAAGTCGAGGAAAACCCGGGGTATTAGTGCACATAAATCGGTTGACTCTGTAAGTGCGACAGAACGAACCCGAAGCAGCCAATGCGATTCAAGCGAAACAACCACAGTCCACAGTACGTGAGGAATCTAAAGATTTGTTTGAATCACGCGCGGAATATGCTTTGGCTCATTGCGAAACCAAGGATGTGAATATCCCCTAGGTATTGCCGTAGAATTTAAGGTCCGATTTGGCCGTTTAAAAGAAGTTTACCATCAACGTCCCGATGTTGGTGGGGGCGATTCCTTTATTATTTGGTAACAAAAGGCAGGTTGCGAAGATTTTTGGAAGGCGAAACGACAACTACAAATTCTTGGCGTTACCAAGTTGACAATTTCAAAGATTGGACGTGGTATTGATAAGTTGGTGCGCAATATGCTGGAGGTTGGTATTCCAGGGACGGGGGTGGAAATATTAGTCAACACAGAGAAATCCCGCAACCGATTCGTTAGACGGTAGATGGTTTTTTCTTCAAGAATGGAAGATGCACAAGGACGTCGTCGTGCAAGTACCGCTATAAAGTTCGCGATATAGAACAAGAGCCTTTTGGGACTGCATCTCCGCTGCAACTGTCATCCGTATTTCGTTACGCAACAGTTTAAAGAGGGGGGTTGTGCAGCGAATACTCCAGAAATTCGGATAGACATCGAGGCGCCATGAGAGAGTAGTCATCGGCGATAAAGAACGAAGGCGGATGTGACGTAATTTTTCCGAGAAATATGACGTGTTTGTTCGAAGACGTTCTGAAGCGTCCTTGAACACTCGAGGACATTCTAGAAAGAATGTTGTTTGCGATATACGCAAATCGAATTGTGTTTCGAGTTTGGTTCCAACTTAGATGGGCTTGTGCTATGTTATAAATTGTAAGTGATAAATAATAGTTATTGTTATCAATTAATCCATTTTAAGACTAAATTTATAAGTTGTACTAAATGACATTCCTAAAGCGAATTGTGCTAATATCAATATTGTTGCTTTAAAACTGTAAACATCTGAAACAGTTTAGGGCTTGTTTAGCTAAGTTAACAACAGATTTTTTAGATTATAACACGCTGAAAAGTTCTTCCCTGCTGTTTCAGCCAAATTTCAACTTTTTGCAATAAAATAGGAACACTAACAACTTCCAGGGAAGTCGTAGTGGGAGAACAACGCTAAGTCGCTAACACTACCACTACCCTATCAGGTCCGATTGAACTCAACCTAGTCAACAGACGGAAAATGGGACACAACGTGAAGAAACAATAATTCTGGAAAGCGACACTCTGAAAACCAATGACTTGGTACTTAAACAAAACGACAACTTGAGTCCTGGGAAGTAGCCCCTTGCAGAAATTTACTTCCTTCAGGATACAGCACTGTACCCATTACCACCCTCAAAGGTCATTTTCGATAACAACTCCTCTATCGAGTCTTGATTACTTGTCTTGTCTTATCAGAATCGGATTTCACAGAAATGTAGGTAGGTATAAAACATAGTAACTCGAGTGTATGTGCCAAGTTGTTAAAGTGTCAATAGCATTGAAAAGTAAAACTGTTTTGCACTTTTGTTAGAAACTCCTCAAATTTCTGGGTACGTAAATTAATGCTGTCCTTTAGTAACAATCGCCATTTATTCCTTTTCTGTCATCCTATTTTTCCTGCTCGCGTTGCATTTATTTTTACTATTGAACTTTGTGCTCGACAAATAATTTCTTATCTTGACTTGACTCATTCAATCCGAGCGTTTATTGACTTAAACCGCTTAAACTAAGCTAAAGAGCAATATTTTAGGACCACATCACTTTCCTTTCATTTTTCATACGAAAGAGTACAAGGGTGTAGTATCAATTGAAACGGCGAAAAGGCGCAAACAGATGAATGTCTTCTGATCGGCTCCTGAAAGGGTACGCAGCTCGTGGAAGATTCTGATGGGCCAAGAAGGGCGCAACTATGCTCCTAGCTGGCTAGTGGAGCAGCAGCTTGTGATACTACCCTAGTCTTATAGAACCATCTAAACCTTTTAAGTGCTCAACTTGGAGATTAGAGATCTTCTGTCGTAAACCGTCCTTTATTTGGTACTTGGTTAAACGTTCCCGTACCTACTCTTCGTGGTACCATGAGGGTTTGAGGACGTTCACTCTCACTTTCTTATTCCAATTCACTTAGATTCATCAAAACCATTTGAGTAATCCATCCTCTGTTCCTTTTGTTGACACTCTGACTTAGTTAACGCCATCAAAGCATTTTAAAATGATATCTCGAAAACCGTTTTGAATATTTTCATGAAATGCTCCTAGCTGGCAACTCAATAAAGGATATGGGGATAGAAATTTTCACATACCTTTAAAAGCTTTTCTTGTGTCGATGTTTAGGGGTTGAACGTAAGTGAGGCACTTTTATTTTTAAAATTCGAATTCAAAAATAAAAACCACGTATGTGTTAATATTTTTTGTTTAATTACTTCCATGGTTACGGAGCTATGATTATTTAAGATATTACAATAACTTAATTACACATTTTTCAAAGTCTATTATGCTTAAGAAGATGTTCAAAATGGCTTCTTTGAGCTTCCAAACACTCGTGAATTAATTTCGTACCCGTTCTGACATTTCAGGTGTCATTGATAATCGGGCAAAACGTATGCGGTCTTTCGTGTCTTCTAAAGTTCTAGGCGCGGGAGTATACTCTCAAAAAGGTAAAATCCGGGTACCAAGCAGGCCAGTTGACCGGACCAATCCACCTGGTTTCAAACATTTCATGTAAATAATTATGAGACTGTATTGCATAATGGGGTAGAGCCCCATCCTGCTGAAACTGCATGTCAAGATTTTTAAGTCTTCGCCCAATAATTTTCTCAATTCATTTCTTAAAAAAATTGTGTACATTCCTCCATCTAAATGTTCTTAAACAAGTTGTTAATCAGCATATGCAGGATTGAAGCGCATTTTTGGTAATAGAGATCAGTATTTTATTAGTGAAGTTTAAAATTATCAATCTCACGAGTAATCTAACTCAAAATAGACAAGCGCCTGCACATCTCCACTATATCAGAAAGCTTGCAGTGAAAATTTGCTAGCTATTGTTATTGCTGATATCTCAGCCGGACAGCCAACCAGCCAGTCAGCCATAACAAAAACTTAAACGCTTACTTTAGTATATAGGCCAGTAATATAACATAGCTCATAGCTATTCCGGACAAGCTGGAAATGATTTTAAACTATTTGATTTAGTGTTAATAAGCCAGTCTAAGGAAATTCCCATCTCTACCACATATGAAAAATTCTTACCTTAGCCCAGGTTCGAACACCCGACCTTCCGGATATGTAGCCGAACGCTTTACCACTGAAACACATAGTCAGATGCAATACCTACTTTACTAAAGTGCGGATGGTGAAAAATTTGTTGTGGCTAGCACAGATACCACCCGCACACCAACGCATGGGCGATTCTACCCTTTTGTTAATACTTGCACCAAATTTGGTTTCAATTGATTCACTCGTTTAGCGGGAAATGAGAGTAAAGACCGACATTATCTGAGCGCCTCTGCCTCAATTAGTGTCTCCATAGCTGCCGTAGGGGACTTTATCATAGCCCATCGTCCATGATTTTCTATATTTTTTATTTCCACTCTGTTAAACGCTGCCTTTAGATCCATGAAAAACGCATCACTTTTCGCGCCATTTTTGTTTCCAAATCCATCCCCACCGGTGTGTGTAGTACCGTCGGCCGCTTCTCTCCCATTTCTGAGCCCCATTCGTTTCCTTTAACAATTTTAGCGCATTTTTTAAGAATTTTTTCTATCATCTTGTTTTGTACATTTTTCTGTTCTTCCTTCCTTCCAACTCTTCCTTTTTCTTTCTTTTTCCATCATTGCTTGGTATCTGTCCCACCACTCCTTTCCCATCCAACTACCTACCTGGTGATTTTTTTTCTACTTTAATACTCTCCTATACAATATTAAATTCGTTTAGTTTTTCCAGTATTTTTAGCGCATTTTTTAAGAATTAAAAAAATGTGCTATTGTTTGCGTTTTGTCCGTCCGTCCGCCCGTCCGTCCGTCCAGACCCACTTCTACGGTTTTGAACTACTTCTAGGGGAATGGTCCTAGAGTCCTGGAATTTTTTGCAGTAGGTAGCCTATACCTTGAAGCCCCCCCCCCCCCCCCCCCACCAATTATTTCCCGAGATGCTGTTTTTGAAAGTAAAACGTGCATAACTTATAACTTTTACGTACGACAACCAATAATGGTCTCAGATCTTGCATACGCATGCCTTTAGTGGTGCCAAATTAAACTTCAAAAAAGGGGGGGGGGGGGGGGTAAACACAAGTTCTACCCTTCATGGTATTCTAATGAAAGGTCTCATCGAAATAAATTCGTTTGTACAAACTATAACTTTCCCGTGTGACTCTGTTTCGAGATCAGTGAGCGACGGGGCCGGCGGGGGGGGGGGGTTATTAAAAATTAATTTTATCTCTCATTGCATTGTAATTAAAGGTCTCAACGAAAGAAACCGTTTTCTACCAACTACTGCCCTTCTTTCTGTCCTCTTATCAAAGTACTGGGAAGAGGGGGAGTGGAACTAGTTATATCCTTCATGCTACGCTAATGAAAGGTCTCAACGAAAAGAATTAATTTCTACCTCTCGACCTCTTATCGTGATCGTGTATATTCCCTTATACCTCAAGAACGAATTGTCGGAAGAGGGTACTTACAAAGGGCGATTGAGACGTCTGCAAGAAATATATCCCTTGGTGATGTCAAAACAAAGCTATTTCAGTTAAAAAAATGCGCTTTATCTGCAGAAGAGTTGTGCACAATTTATACTTGCTTCATTTGCTGGTACACAGATAATCAATTTTCGACCGATTTTATTATTACCTACAAATTCAAAGAAAATGATAAAAATTTATTTATTTATTACTTATTTTATTTTTATTTTATTGTCTTTATTTTATAGTGGACGGAGTGTTAGCAATTTGCTACTCTTCCCACTCAACCCACTATACAATCACAAACAGCCATGCCTTACCTGGGATTCGAACCCAGGACCCTTGTAGCCAAATGCCTAATGGGCAAGCGAGGTGGAATTAATCAGGGGGAATTTGATATTTTTGATCCAATTTTTACACATGCCTACTCTCCTATTCTTTCTTAACCGGTTAACCTTAACGTTTAGTGTTGCCTCATTGTAAAGTCTCTGTTTTTTTAGGTGAAATGCACCGCAAAAAAGGCACGCTTCTTGCCTTACTGCTTCTGCTAGTGCAAGAGTCAAAAGCAACTTGTGTTGTCCAAAGTTGGTCTGAATGTACTGTCACCTGCACGAGTTTGGACGGAATTGGGTACTACTTGTGCGACAGAACTGTGAAATTGTCCATAGAGAATACGACTATCTCAAAATTTAAAGAAACCACAATTCCAAAAAGTAAATCTTCACTGCAGCAACTCTCTCTAAGAAACTGCCAGCTGGAAGCAATTGCCAACAATGCCTTCGAAAGAATGCAAGTATTGCGACAACTGAATTTGCAAGAGAACAAAATCACGACCGCCGGATTCCTAGACAACAAACTTCCATTGCAAGTATTAAATTTGAACTTCAATAACTTGAGGAGTATTTCCGTAGATGGAAATTTACTCGGACAATTGGAAGAGCTTTACGCGAGCAACAATGATCTTCAGAAGGTCAAAATATCCTCAATGAGACTTCGAGTGTTAGATCTTTCAAATAACAAACTCCTCAGTGATGGCAGCTTAATTTTCACAAACGTAACGACGCAGCTGAACGTTCTCAATTTAAGCTCTAATCCCTTGACTACATTGAGGTCGCACTCGTTCGTTTATTTGAGAGGATTGTCGCAGCTGTATTTGAAAAACTGCAGTCTTCAAAGTGTAGAATCTGAAGCATTTCGTGGAATGAGTAACTTGAACCTATTAATATTGAGCGACAATCATCTAAGGGCGCTACCCCAGTATGTTTTTGTGGAGTTACCTCGCCTTCGCGAGCTCCACCTTGACAATAATCATCTGTACACGTTGCAGCAGGGCGATTTTAAAGGACTTGCCGCGTTGAGGTTCCTAAATTTGTCCAACAACCAAATTGAAGCGCTTGACAAAGATGTATTTCAAGGGCTGGCAGGTTTGGACAAACTCATTTTGGCTAATTCCAAATTGAAACGGGTCGGGGTCGGGGTGTTTCCCTCGACAAGTAATTTAAATTTGGTGAACAACAGTTTGGAGGTGTTGACAATTGACGTTTTCAGCGCGGTAACTGGAACAATCGATTTGCAGTTTAATCCGATCAGAAGCCTCAGTGAGGGAACGGTTTCAAGTGCGTTAAAAGCAATGTCTGTAGATTTGGTGGGTGTCGATTTTCAGTCATTCAAAAGTGGTCTCAGTAGGTTTAGTGGGGTACGATTTTTAAATCTGTCCCATACAAACTTAAGACAGATCGCATCTAACGATTTCGCCAATTTGGCGAATTTAAACAACCTAAACCTGAGCCACAACAGTTTGTCAGTGATTGTGGAAGATTCCTTCCGTGGCCTGAGCGGTTTACGCAGTTTGTGGGTTCGGAATAATTCTATCCATGAAATACGGGTTGGAGCATTTAATGGCTTGCAAAATTTGAGGATTTTGGATTTGTCTCAAAACTTTATTACACACTTGTCACAAGGAATGCTTTCGGGTTTGCAGCGATTGAACGCTTTAGTCCTTGCGCAGTCGCACATAGTTAACATTGAACCCCAAACATTTCAAGCTTTAGCGCAGTTAGCAACCTTAGACCTTAGTCACAATAAGTTAGTGGTCTTGAAAGCTAATGCCTTCGTTGGAGCGACAGGGCTCAACAGCTTGATTATTACCAGAAACTTTATCGAGGAAATTGCGCCGGGTTCCTTTGCAGACCTGCAACAGTTATCATTTCTGGATCTATCCTTTAATAATCTAGAAGATCTCGACTCGAATATGTTTAAAGGCTTAAATCAGCTACAAAGCCTCAAGTTAAACGGAGTATCCTCCCAAGGGCGCACGACGATTAAAGCGGGAGCCTTTAGTAGTCTACCGTCGCTGGCATCAATATACCTGCGCCAAAATCATTTCAAGCTTCTAGAAGGTGGTGCTTTCTCCAAACTGGACAATTTGAAACAAGTTTACTTTGATGGAACCACTGTTACGGCCATTGGAAAGCTTCGCATTCCAAGACATCGGGCACATCACAAATTTGAACCTTTCAGGTTTACTTATTAAACACCTAGAGCCCAACGCATTCAGTTTAATGAGAAGTTTGATCACATTGGATTTAAGCAACAACAGCTTTACTAAAATTAAGGGTACTTACTTCAACAACCTTCCTGAACTGAGAACCGTTTATTTACGCAATATTCAGCTGGGGGAGGTCGAATTTGGCGCCTTCTCTCACTTGGACAAGCTCAATTCCTTCGACTTTAATGGAACTTCAATTGAAACGATCCAAGGCGAGGCCTTTACCGGAGTCAACTCGTACAGTTCCTTTAACTTGTCAGGCTTGAATATCAAGCACATCCACCCTGACGCCTTCACCAATATCGCAGTCTGTTACGAAATGAATCTCAGCCACAACCTCTTAAAAGTCATACATAGAGGCACCTTCGGAATAGACCAGCTTAACAAGTTGGACCTCAGCTTCAATGAAATTGAGGAACTAAAAGCTGACACGTTTGACGGTTTCGGTTTCCGTACGTTGGGCAGTCTAAGCTTAAAAGGCAACCGACTGCGCCATCTTCCATTTGGCGCGTTTTCAGGTATCCGAAACATCCGGCTAATTTCACTTGAAGAGAACCTCATCCAGAAAATGGAACCGGGCGCGTTTAACGGTACGCTGATGTACACGGATGGCAAAATCGTTTTGAACTACAACAAACTGAGGGTGTTGCACAAAGACACCTTTTTGGGCATTCAGAATTTGCAAAGCTCAACATTGCCCACAACAATCTGAACGAGATTAAATCGCAAGCTTTCAACGGGCTGGACTCCTTGAAAACGTTGGATCTGTCAAACAACATGTTACACACCTTGAAGTTGCAATCGTTCGCAGGTTTAACGAAAGTGGAAAGTTTGGTATTGGCAAGTAACGCTTTTAAAAGTTTTCAATTTGGAACATTTTCTCACACGTCCACCCTGACGTACCTTGACATTTCGAATAATAACGTCGCCCACATCGGCGAGGGCGTCTTCTACCCTCTACGAAACCTGGAGCGATTAAACCTGGAAGGCAATCGCATGAGGCACTTCAACTACGACGTTTTCCTGAGCTACCACCCTCGCCTTTCGAAATTCAATTTGAATCACAATATGTGGCGGGGATGCAATTGGCTGGCGGAGTTGCTAAATGCATTGAGGGTTCGAAAGGTAAATTATTCTGAAAGATCCCGTGATTACGCTAGTCTAAATGTAGATGGTATTACCTGTTACGAGGGATAGGGTAAGTTTCCTTCCCGAGAAGAGAAGATGAACAACCCTATGGAATGGCACCCGAACTCGCTTTGAGTTTAAGATTTCCGAATTTTATACCTACTATATGGATAAAATCGCATATAGGTGGCCATTTAGGTGAGATGGCATCGTGTCGCGAGAATTACACGGCTTCCTTTTCTGCTATTGGTTTTGTGACGACGCTGGTCGCGGAAGTTTCGTTGGTTTCGTTTCAACTTAGCATAAATAGCGAAGCAAACAGAAAAAAGGCGAGACTGGTAACGACATGAAAGCGTACATCTCGTCTGCGTGATTAATTGCGGCAACAACAAAGTTGACGCAAACAGGGGATGAGTGCCTACAGTTTAGGTGTACAGTTCGGGTAGACAATGTAGTTCTGAAACTTTGAGATTTTATGCTCTAGTTATAAATAATTCTCAAAATTAAAATGGATCGGAGTCTATTTATAAACTCTTACCAACATAGCGACTAGGAACTCTAGTCCATCGAGAAATCTCTGATTTGGCGGACGATTGGGCTCGCACAGTAGGCGATGGCTAGGAGGCGCCCGCTCGAGGGTTAAACTTCGGGTCAAGTGAGCCCTGCGCCAAATCCTAAGGTTGTATCTGGTTGGTAAACCAGACCGTACGTTAAGGACTAAGGTCTCAGATCGGAGGGAAGCGTTCCAGTGTCTGCTTCAGGGCAACCTGAGAAGCGTAGAGGCTGGAGCACCTAAAGTTACGGGTGCACCACAAACCTGTGGGCAAGTCGCTGCGGCGGAGTTTAGAGTTTCTATTGTTCCAGTGTTGTACCCGGAGGTGCAGTGAGTTTTAGAACACATGGATAAGTAGTGTAGTAGCCATGATCCGAACCCCTCCTCGCTAGAAGGGATGTGATCTAGGCTGTCTTACTAATATCGAACAGTTATAGTATAAGGCCACTCTTCTGACGAGTGGACAGTGACTGATCTCGGATTGCACGACGCACGTGCCTCCAATTTGATGGGGACAGTGAATCGGTTTAAGCTGAACATGTACTTTCCTTTATGGAGAGGAACGGGTCCTGAACCTAGTTGCGAAAGAAAGCGGATACGCACAATGGGCCTCTGCTGTGCCTAAGTGCTGCCTGGTCGGGCTTCCCTTATGAATCAAATAGAATAGAACGTAAGGGACAGTCTGGGAGGCTGCGAATATATTAATTTACGGAGAAGCGCTCTCAGGAAACAAATTGCTTTAAGGTTGGGGACAGATGTAGGTCTGAGGGCACGAAATTAGGAGAAAATAGGGTGTATGGTGTAGCAAATCGTAATTTTTCTAAGGAAACCACTGAGAATATTTACAAAAACGTTTCAGAAGACGTTATCTAAGGATAAATAACCTGAAGATTTCCTACATTTCTAACACGCTTTATATGTTTTCTAAATCACTCCTTTTAACGGGAGCCCTTATATAAGGTTTCTTAATTTTGTTAGGCTAGCTCATTTTCAGGTTTTGAGTATTCGAAAGTATACAGGGGTGTTTCTATCAGAGGTTTAAATTTCTTTGAAGTCAATAGGTTCTTAAGAAAATTGGCGGTCTATATTTTGTAGGTTGTTGGTTTCCGGTAATCACCTAGAAAATTTGCTAGCGCCAGTCTGGCGGGTGGTAATTGAATCTTAATGTGTTTTACGTAACCAAATCAGGCTTACTGAAAGAACATATAACAACATGAGAAGCGCTAGGTTATAGTTCTTAAAAAGGCCGTGGATTTCTATTGATGCCCCAAACACGGTCGTGATTGATTAGGGCATTAGATTGAACCTATTAGCGTCATTTTGTCGGTGGTTTCAGTAAAATGGGATGAGTAGGGACGCGTTCAGGAGAAACAGCGGTAGGGTAGCGGTGGAAATTTCATTTTAATTAGTATGATCAAAGAGTAACATTATGGTTACTCTTTCGTATGATTACACAAAGATAATGATTAATGGTTTTTAACCCCATATGTTGTAACAAGCTGTTACACTCTGTCGCAAATGTATTGGACTATTTTTTCTACTAGTAAGTTTTGTATAATTTTTATCGAAACAGTTTTATCCACACTCGCTAATTGGAACGATTGGTAAAAAAATGCACAGTTCTTAGACTACGAGTAACTTTTCCTGTAAAAAAAGGAACCTTGATGATTTTCATGAAAACTTCAAAAGAACGTAACAGCCACAATGGGGGAAATTTGATCGGAAATTTGAGAACAATTGGAAAATTTGAGGAGAACGAAATTGAGAACAGGAGGAAGCGTGAGAGAATTTAATGGTAACTTGAGAACAAGTGAAAAAGAGAATGAGCGATTTTGATGGGAACTTGGAAATGAATCTGCGTCAGAACGCCTTGAAAAGATCTTGCCGGGAACTGTAAGGGAACTTTGCGTGGATGGCTAAGAACTACAAGAAAAAAAGCCTAAACTGATGGGAATTTTTGTGAAAATTTGACGGAAGTCTAAGAGAGATTTTGGGGAAATTTAAGGGTGGCTTTTATGATGGATGATGGATGAAGGTGACTTCCGAGAAACCTAAAAAAGAATCAAGCAATGAGGAACGCAACAAGGAATTCCTTCCAACAAAAGGAACCTAGAGTTAAAAAAACCTAATGGATCTTTGTAAGGAACGTGATGAAAATTTTAGGAAAGTAGATGAAGGACCCGAAAAGAGCCTAAGAGGAGATTTATGTAAATTTAAAGGCAACGACTAAATTTAGAGATGCTGCATTTCGTAACTTTAGGTATAGTTTTTTTGCTTCAGTTAATCTCCATGGAAACAAATATTGTGTACTCTTAGGAGGGTATCAGCATTGTATACAATGGTATCAGTCAGACAAGTTTAAGTGAAGATAATAAGTCCAAATTTAAAATTATAAATACCATTGTGCTCTCTCCGTTAAGGTCAATGTCTCTGTTGGCCCTTATCCTTCCGATATCTCAACAGCACAGCACAGTTGGTGTCTGACAAGCACAATGAAAGTAGCTCCGATAGTCGTACTGCTCCAGGTTTTAGTCGTGGTTACCTGTACGGTAGGTAGGTTAAGTTGATTGCGTGGCGCCTAAAATGCTTCGTTCCAGGATTATAGAGGAACAAAATTCATGAGGGACAGGGTTGCTATCTATATGCCCTATTTTAACGAGTGTCTCTGTGCAACTGGAGCAGATGCAACCTTGGCTGAACATTGGTTGTACAGTGTGGTCCATTCTGCTGATCCATGTTCCAAGTGTTTTTTGAAATGTGTGTACCTGAAAACGTCAATCATGAATCCCAATGGCACGATCAATATGGACGTTATTACTGATAATTTACCTAAAGTAAATCAAACCGTTGTTGAAACTTGCACAGAAGAAAGCACTCACGTGGATATATGTCAACGTGCATACCAGTTTGGCATCTGTTTTTCAATCATTGAACGTTCATATTACAGTGTCTATTGATGACAAAGCTCCATATTTTAATTATATAAGTTGTAACCATATAATACGAGGTTCAAGAAGCGGCTAACCCGTTTCCTGTTCTTCACCTAACCCATGAATCCAGTATCAGCATTAAGAACAAAAAAGGAATATCTAAACCTCATATCGATTATAACAAAAAAGATAATAAATAACTAAAAATGAAAACAAGTACACTCTTCTCTTCATTGCACTCAACTGTCTTAGGAGATCTACTCTGCATTCAGTTTTTACCTGACATTATCTTTAAAATTTAGAAACAGAAAAGCTTGCGGAAATAAAAATTTGGATCCGTGACCTATACTTGTCGCATCGTTACTCGTTATTAATTGGTTTCTACGCCCTCTCGTTTAAGTAGGAGCCATTGAGGTTGGAGATGTATGTTCTATGTAGTACTTTTAGAGCGCTCTTGAGTACCCCCGCTGAAAAATACCACTCCCAGTTCGAGGGCATACCAACTACCAATTACCCGTCTAATTAGGAACTGTATCTGCTTGCTCTTATCGATTAGATAACGACCACCTTGTGGAGCAGCCATTAAGCCTTCCTCGATTTCACCTGCCACATGGACTCTTGGGGGTTAAAGTGGGACAACAGGAATTGGCCCAAAGCACATAACCAGTTAGAGGATACCCTTCTTTACTCCTTCTTTGTAAAGCGTAGATATCGTTAATCACCGGGATAAATACTCAAATCGTACTTTTTAACTATTAAACGTGCGCTTTGTAAACGGAATTTTCCCTCGTGCGTTAAAATAGCGATAGTTGCGCTATATATCTCGCACGTTATCTCATACATACTTTCCCTGTTTAGTTAGCTAGTTTTCGCAATGAAAATCGCACTGTTTGTTCTGCTACTTCACTTTTATGCCGGTGTCGCCGACGTGAGTAATTTCTCAGGAATCTAGCCCTCCAACATACTTTTTCCAGAAGTACGAGGAAAACGCATTCCTGGAAGCCAGACTGAACTTTTTCCTGTCTTTTTACACCGAGTGCATTTGCGCAACGGGAGTCGACCCGGCTGAGGCCAACAGTTGGTTGTACATGGCCGAATACTCAGTCGATCCTTGTGCCGAGTGCTTCCTGAGGTGTATGTACTTAAAATCGTCCGTGATGAATCCCGACGGCACCATCAACTTGCACACCATAACTAATAAGATGCCTTATGTGAACGTAACCGCCGTAAATGAGTGCATGGCTGGGAGCACCAGTTTGGATTTATGCCAGCGTTCTCACGAGTTTGGCAGTTGCTTTATCGAGATCGCGCTTAAGTACTACTCTTACCATCATTAAGTGTCATTTTGTTGGCAATAATAGCATATTTCCAGGTAATATTCCTATTTCTAAGTAAAGTTTAACTGCAGTCCTGCGTTTTTTCTTCTAAAAAGCTAGAACACCGATTTGTCGAATTGTAGGGTGTAGAGCATCGACATATAATAAATGTACTGCGTGCGCCAATGATAAGCGCGGATACTGCAGCTGAGAGAGAAAGCAAAACCAATGTCTTACGGTTAGGCATCTGATTGGTTGTCTCAATTTAGTTTGATGCACTTCTGTTGAAAGAACCAATCAGACGCGTACCCGTAAGAGACGGCTTGCACTCTTAGTTTTCCTTTCTCTCTCATCTGCAGTATCAGTGCTTAGCATTGGCACGCGCATCCATTTATTACATGTCGATGGTGTAGTCATCACTTTTGCAAAACATCATTTCCGTAACTTGATTTTTCTGATAATGACACATTATTTGAGATATTTGTGTAAGCAAAATGGATGCTTGTAGGTGTGGGGCTTGTTTAATCTCGGTAGGAAATTGAGATCATTTTAGAAAATTAATGTGAGGCATACGCCGTCACTCGTACCAACTGTAGACTTCTTCACTTAGTCTTCGAACGTTGTAAGAACAGCTAGGCGAAAAGGGTGGTACAGTCGCCCACTGGCATCCACTAATACTTTTGAGGCCGCAACTTCCGGTATTTTGGGAAAAATCTAATGACACTAAATTCAAAAGCACTAATGTTTCCAATTGAATGCAGCCCAATTAGTTTAGACAGGTTGGAGTCCTGATTTAGATTGTAATCTGTAGGTTAGTATGGTAGTTTGGACGAAATACTTGGGACATTGAAAAGGTTCCTGAAGCCCTGCAATATCTTTTAAGATGATTCAACGCACTCAAAAGGTGCTCTTTTTAAAACCATTTAGGACACAAAAATCTCATGATGCAAGAAAAGACGGTTGAATCCTTATTTTCCTCCTTTCCTTTCTTTTGTCGTTCCTTTAAAATATACAGTGCTAAACATTTTGGTATGGAATACCCCGAAGGAAAACAAAGATTCTACCGTCATTTTCTTCAATCATTGAATATTTTCGTGTACTGGGGTAGTCTGTAAATTCCCTCCCCCCCCCCCCCCCCACACTGCCCTCGAAGTTGTACATTCTTCCCCAAAGCGTTTAGTAGCCTTTGCACTTACACTATAAGAGTCCATTGTGAATCCACAAGGTTGAACGTTTAGTGGGAGAACGTAGTATCGGTTGAGTTACATGTACTACCAAAGTACAAGAAACTTTTATGAGAGGGGGGGGGGGCAGGCATGGAATACCCCGAAGGAAAACAAAGATTCAACCTTACTTTTCTTCCGTCATAAAATATTTTCGTGTACTGGGGTAGTATGTAAACTCGGTGGTATTCCATACCCCCCTCCCCCCAGCTTCGAGGTTCAGCATTCTTCCCCAAAGTGTTTAATAGCCTTAACACTTACACTATAATTTTTAGAGATCATCGATTGTGAATCCTCAGGGTTGAACGTTTATTGGGAGAACATAGCACATACGTACAAGACACTTTTATGTTGGAAGAAAAGGAACGTTGATTCCTTGTTTTTCTAGGGCGTATTCCATACTCCCCAGTTTCGCCGGTTTGCATTCTTCCCCAAAACTGTTACTTCTTTTAGAACTTGTTTTGTAAAGACCATCGACTGTGGGTCCTCAGAACTGTGTTAGCCCAGCAAAAAGTAGTACTCCATTACACGGAAATGTTATGACTGAGAGAATAGATTTTGAGTCCTTAGGGGTGAACGTTGTGTGGGAAAACGACGGGGTGGTCTGAGGAGTATAAAATACCCCCAGTTACACATGCCATACCCGTACGAGAAACTTTTGTGATAGAAAATTCTTTTGGTAGGGGGTATTTGATACCCTCAGATTCCCCTGCTCTGCATTCTTCCCCTAAATTATTAATGCGTTTGGCACATACACCAGAATTTTTGGAATCATCGACTGTGGTTCCTTAAGGCTGAGGGTTTTGTTAGAGAATGCAGCTCCGGTGGGTGTGGAGGGTATGGAACTCCCCCCTGTCTCGCCAAAAATATTACTCCGGTACACGAAAGTTTATTGTATGTAGAGACCATGAATTGGGGAGTCTAGTTTGGTATGGAATACCCCCCCCCCCCCCCGTTACCCATCCACACGAGTACAAAAAGCTTTTATGATGGAGAGAAAGGACCGTTGAATCCTTGTTTTGCTGGGGGGTATTCAATATCCTCAAGACCTCTCGGTTCTGCATTCGACCCCAATATTACAGGTGCTATTTGCACTTGCACTAGAATCGGTTGTTAGTCCCTAGTTTTGTGCGAAAACGTTGCACGTACCGGGTGATCTGGGGGGTATGGAATACCTCCAGTTACACATACCACGGCAGTACAACGAACTTTTATGGTGGAAAAGAACATATCCCCCAGACCACCGGTTTTGGATTCTTGCCCAAAACTGTTAGCGCTTTTAGCACCTATACCAGAATTTTAGAAACTTTTGTGGGAGAAGGTAGCACCGGGGGGTGTGGTCTTAGCCAAAGGTACTACTCTAATACACGAAAATTTTGTGATAAAGACCATGGATTTTGAGTTTTTAGGGCTAAATCCCGGCTCAAGAATCTTTTATGATGAAGGAAAAGAGGACCGTTGAATGCTTGTTTTGCTGGGAGGTATTCCATACTCCCAAGACGTCTCGGTTCTGCATTCTACTCCAAAATTAGTAGTGCTTTTAGCACCTAAACCCAAACGTAGCACCGGGTGGTGTGGCCCCAGCTAAAAGTACTACTCTAGTAATGTACACGGAGGTCTTATGATAGAGGGCATGTATTTTGAGTCCTTAGGGTTGAAAGTTTTGTGGGAGAAGGGGATCCTCTCAGTTAGGTACACATTCCGCCTCATTACAAGGTTGGAGGAAGAAAACCGTTCAATCCTTGATTTCTGGGGAGTTATTCCATACCACCAGACCTTTCGGTTCTGCATTCAACCCCAACATTATGAGTGCCAGTACAGGTATCTTTTATGATGGAAAGGAACGTTGAATCCTTTTTTGCTGGGGGGTTTTCCACACCCCTAGGGCTCCTGTTCTGCATTCTACCCCAAAATTATTAGTGCTTTCAGCACCTCATCCCGAACGTAATACCGGCCGATGTGGCCCTAGCCAAAAATACTACTCCAGTACACGAAAGATTTGTGTGACTTCTAGGTGGTATGGAACTCCCCCCCCCCCCAAGTTACACATTCCTCCTCAGTATAAGAAATTCCTGTTTTGGTGGTGGGTATTCCACAACCCCAGATCTCTTGGTTTTGAATTCTTCCCTAAAATTGTTAGTGCTTTCAGCACCTACACTTGAATTATCAGAGCCCATCAATTGTGAGTCCTTAGGGTTCAACTGTTTGTGGGAAAACGTAGCACCGGGGGGTTCTTGCACAGTTACACATACCACCCCAATACACGATAATCGTAAACGATTTACATAAAGCGCATTTCTACTTGCATTCATTTCCCATTTGTAAGATGCAATTTCTGTTAAAATCGTAAAAATCCGGCCACAAACATGAAAGATATGGATTGCACATGACGTGCCAAGTTCAGTTTATAGGAAGAATTTCAATTTTCAATGCTTTTCTAAATAAGAAAGTTTATTTCAAGTGACTATGTATCAAATTTCGTTTAAATGCTTCCATAACTAAAAAAAGTTGGTATTGCACATGCACAAAACCAAATTTTGAAACTGGCGTTAGATTTTCCTTTATTCCAAGTACCTATGTATCAAATTTCGTTTAAATACTTTTATAAATAAAACAGTTTGCAATTCGGTTTATAAATGGTTGAGATACGAAAAGGGCACTGTGAACTTTGAATCGATTCGACTCAACTTTTGCCATTGCGTATTATATGGCCAAAGGTATGCCCATATTGAATTTCATGCAATTCAGTTGATAACTAACGAAGATGTCAAAGCGATCGGACATTTCTAAACAAAGTTCTCGTTCACACGGACAGATAGAGGGACAGACAGACAAAGGAACAGACGGACAGACCAACAGACAGACGACAGACAGCAATACAAAATTATAAACGATCTCTAGGATCGTTAATAAACGGCAAAAGTGTAAAATTATGGAACATGTAAAAAACGGTTTTTTGTTTTTTTACAATAACTTTTTTTGTGAGCGGTACAGAAAAAATTCCTTCCTTGGTGCAAACCTCGACACCATAATTAACCAAATAGCGAAAAAAGTAGAACAATAGCTCTTATGATTAACAACTAGTAGCGTCTCAACGTCTCAAAACGAGCGGACGGATGGACGGACGGACGGACAAAGTGGCCACAATGGCGCATTTTTTTTATATTTTTGTGGAAATGCGCTAAAAAAAGGGATGTTGAAGCTTTGTTTCTTGAAGGGTAGAATTTTATTCTACTCAGACTCTCCGGCCCTGCGTTCTAACGTAACACAGAAGAAGTATGCAAGACTCCACATCAATACTTCTATGAATTTAGGATCTCTAAATACTCCGGAAACTCTAGAAGTGGCTGCCGGTCAAAACCCTTAAAACAGGTTAAACAGGCTCTCCAGGATCTGTTGAAGGTTTTTTAAAACTCATCGAAACCCTGGAAGATCCAGATAGGCTCTTTAAAACCCCTTTGAATTCTTAACAAACCTTTCACAAATCCAAAAATTTTGAAATACCCTGAAGAACATCTAATTCTGCCATAACTCGTTGAGACACTTCCGTGTTTCACCACAACTTTCTAAAAGATCTCGAGTCCTTAAAGGCTCATCCAAGCCCATAAAGGTCGTCAAGAGGTTTTAGGACTTGAAGCAGAACTTCACAATTCCTAACTTCTAAGGCCAACGCAACCTTCATGGTTCACAAAATGCTATATTATGGTATTCATCGGAGGAGTCTGGGATTTATAAGGTCCTTAAACCCTTCAATCATCTTCTTAGATTTCATCAAATTGTTCAACACCTTATGAAAACTATAAAGGCTCAAAACAAAGCCCGTTTCTTATAATCCTGGAACCTAGCGTTACG